AAACCACAGTAGTGCTGGCAGTACCTGTGATTTTGTCAGTAATAGAAAGCACACATATTTTCATGTCATGTTACAGTTGATGTAGATATCTCAAAATGCAGGCTATTCTCACCACTAATTTGTCAATGCAAGAAACTTCCAAATCTGAGTTTATGCGAGCCAAAGCGATGACAACTGCCAGGAAGCAAAACCTCAACGGATAGAGAAAATGCTCTTGAGAATGGCAGTTTTGCGCCTTATTTTATACCTTAGAATCAAAGGAACGGGCATAAGGGGGCTACAAGAAATCCATTGGTGGTAGACTAGGGAGGCAGGAGAAAGCAAAGCAGGGATATCTCTGAGATAAAAAGTAAAATGGGGAGACACATGCTTCTTTCACATTGGTGGATATGGGAGAGTTAACAGCATTTGCCGCACAGAGTCTTCAGGGATGAAGAGAACAATGGTGATTCTGTGGCCTCTGCTCAGGGACATTGTGCCCTGACGGGTCTGGAAGAGGGATTCCTGTGACTTTTCATAGGTATGTTGTCACAGATGCAAAAAGACCACAGACGGGCTCAGGGTAAAGACTGACCTTTGTCAAGGAAGATGCTGGCCTAGGACAGGACAATCTGACATGACTCACTTTTGGTTAGGAAGTTTTCATTTCAGACCATCCAATGTAGTTGGTTAACTTCAGGTCTCAGTCTGTGAGGCCACTATGAAGGCCTTCCTTGGCCTCTTTTTTTTGTCCAGAAATTCAAAATTATAATAGTTACTAGGCCTACATTTAGATATTGTCATTTACCATATTGATAAAGCTGCCCATTATTAATGTATCACAAATTTATTTTAGAAACTATTTAACTGTATTTTAATATAATTGATTTGGGGGGTGTCAGGTGTCCTAATACTGCAAAATAGGTCATTGAACAAGAAAAAAATAACTGTCTTCCATAGAGGCAAAGATTCGGTCACATTAAGAAACGATTTGGTCCCTTCTCAGTCCTAGGGAAAGGACTTTCACTTTTATTGTTCACTTTCAATAAAGTGAAAACAGTAGACATTTAAAAACACTGCCTAAGAGTTGTGAGAGGGTGCAATTTATGATAACTATAAAGATCGGATATCCTGATATATGAAGGTATTATTAATTGAGATGAGGAATTCAGAAAAGAGAAGCTGGGTCCAGTCAGGAAGATTACAGAATTCGGTTTTAGAAATACTGAGTACACACACACACACACACACACACACACACACACACACACACGTTTTATTAAAATATAATTCACATCTGATATAACTCATCCATTTAAAGGGAACAGTTTGGGCCCTCGCTGATGTAGCTCAGTGGATTGAGCGCGGGCCTCCGAACCAAAGAATTGAGGTTCAATTCCCAGTCAGGGCACATGCCTGGGCTGCAGGCCAGTTCCCAGCAGGGGACACGAGAGGCAACCATACATTGATATTTCTCTCCCTCTCTCCTTCCCTTCCCCTCTAAAGATAAATAAGTAAAAAATCTTTAAAATATTTAAAGGGAACTGTAACAGTTCGGTAGTTTGGGGTATAGTCACAAAACTATACAACCATCACCACAATCGACTTTAAAACACGTCTACCCCACACCGACCCTCTCTCCCCAGTCTTCCTGTGATAGGCAGAATAGCATTCCCCTCAAAGATGTCTACGTCTTAATCCGTGGAACCTGTATTTTAGGTTACATAACAAAGAGGAACTAAAGTTTCCAGTGGAATTAAGGTTGCTAATCAGCTGCTATTGAAATAGATTATTATTGTGGATTACTCAGGTGGGCTCGTTGTAATCACAAGGATCCTTTAAAGTGGGTGACCGAGACGGCAGCCTCAGAGAAACCTGTCCCAGCGCTGCTGGGTTTGAAGCTGGAAGAAGGAATGCACCAAGAAGTGGGTGGCCTCTAGAAGCTGGAAAAGGCAAGGAAACAGATTCTCTCCTTAGCCAGTACTTTGAATTTAGTCCAGTGAAACCCATTTTAGACTTAATGATCTCTAGAATTTTAAGATAATAAATCTGTGTTGTTTTAAGACACCGTTTGTGGTCATTTGTTACAGCAGTGACAAAAATGAACTCTTCTCCTCCACCTTCAGGCCTTCCTCCAATTCTAGACAATTACTAATCTAGGTTCTGACTCTATACACTTGCCTATTCTGGACATAAACATCATATAAATGTTCATCAAGTCTGGACATAAAACAACAAAAAAGGAGTTCCCACTGTTGGTAGTCTTCTTAGTCTTTAGAATGATGGGAACCTATCTGTTTCTTTAGAAGCAGGACTTGGACAGAGCTAGACTTTTTTTGCTGGGGGTGGGGAATGCTGTACTTTCAACCTGCAAAAACTCTCAACAAACGTCACATGTTACGCGGGTGAGGAGAATTTTTCGGTTATCCCTGGTGAGTGGTCACTCCAAGCTGAGCAGCAGTGCGATCTGAGTCATACGGCACTTACAGGTGCTTTGGACAAAGTACACACTGCACCGCCCTTTCAGGCCTGGCCATGGACAGCACTAGCAGATGCCCCCCAGCAGGACTGGAACTTACGTGCTCTGCTTCTCCATGTTTTATTGCTTTTTATGGGTCTTTTTTTCTTCAAATTATTTTAAAATTATTTCTAAATTATTGTAGTAGGTGACTAATGGGGAGAACTAGAAGTTAAACATCATTGTTTATTTCCAGCACAATCACATTTTTTAAAGAATCCGAGTGCATATTGCTCTGTTCACTTGATATTTAGAAGTAAATTCATACTAGGATTTTGTGATCTGGGTTTCCCTGACCAAGACTATAATCCAATGTCCTTAGGACATTTTGAATGGAAAAGCCTAGGCATCCTGGTACACAGGCCAGCGCTCAATCCACTGAGCCACACCAGCCATGGCAAGCCTAGGCATTCTGAAGTCCTCCTTTTGGTTGAATGAATGGTTAGTGAGTAATTTCCACTCTCACTTGCCTAGAAGTCTCCCTGTGAATCTTCAGGATTAATAAATAATAGCTAATTGGTGTTGATCTACTGTTCCTCTACAACTAAGGAAATGTATACTCATACCCATGTCTATGGCATCTCTACATCAAACATAATTATTTTAAAGCCTTGGCCACTCTTTAGAGTCCCCTGGGAGCCACCTTCTCTCCTTCTGTTTACCTCATGGCATGAATATCCAGCTCTCCTTCTAACTCCTACATTATCTGTCTTTAACTTAGATTATGAGTAATGTAAGATCAGATCCTCTTACCATATTTGCTGCTATTTCTAACTTAAAAATGGTGGGTGAAATATCATCTTCTCTCCCAGCTCTCTGATAAGCTTGGCCACAAATGGGATGGAGTTATAGTGGAACTTAACTTTCATGCACAAAGTAAATTTTGCCTTCGCTGCCAAAACAACATAAACTAAATGTTTTGTTGCAGTAGCTATACTGTCATGAGATTTGATGAAATTATCTCTTTGCACCTGAAAGCATAATAGTACCAGAACTCAACATCATACCAGGAGTCCAGCAAATGCAAGAAGGCCAGCAAAAGAAATAAAAGACATGCAGATTGGAAAGAAATAAATAAAGCTGCTACTATTTCTAAAGAACATGATTGTCTACACAGAACATCACAAAAAATCTACAAAATCTCCTAGGACTAATAAGTGACTTTAGCAAGATCACAGAATTAAAGTCAAGGTACAAAAAAATCAATTGTTAGAAAGTGAAATTTCCAGCAATAAAATTTCCTACAATACAATTTTAATAAATGTTTACATTTACAACAGCACAGGAAAAGAACCCATGAATTACTTAGGTCTAAACCTACCAAAATATGTCCAAGATATGCATACTGAAAGCTACAAAATGACAAAATAATTGAAAAAATACCTAATAAATGGAGATAGATACTATGCTCACTGACTGAAAAATTCAATATTGTTAAGATGTCAATTCTCCCCAAATTGACCTATATATCAGAGTAGTCTAATCAAAACCCTAGCATGAACTTTTGCAGAAACCAATCAAGCTGACTGTGGAAAACGGAGGGCAGTGCCGTGTGACGGCTGAAAATGTATTCGCCTCTGCGCAGTGCAATGTGGTGGGCACTAGGGATTGAAACGCTGAGTGGAAAAATTCTTGTTCTCCTGTAACTAAAAGAAGTGTGAGGTTACAACTGCATTAAGTGTTAGGAAAGAGATTATGGGGTGCTCTGAAAAACCCATGTGCCACAGAAACCAGGGACCACTGCCTTAGCGGAGGAAGCCTTAAGAAATGGAATTAATGAGGATAAAGGGGGGGAAGCTTTACCAAAGGAACCATGTTCTCAAAGTGCAAGGCCAAGGGGCCTGTAGCAGAGACAAGGGGATTGTGCTGCAAGACCTAGGGTGAGGAGGCTGCAAAATGCCAGGACACGAAAGTCCCTGAACATTCGGAATGACGGTCTACTGCCCCCAAACACTGGGGTTGCTATGAGCATGGGCAGAGGTAGGCTTAGACTTGATTAATACAGACTTTCCCATTAGGCGGAAAGTACCCGAGTCTGTTTTACTCACAGTTGCGTCCCTGGAACCTGGAACTACACAGCATTTAGCAGGTGCTCGTGGATAATGTACTGCACTATGGCCTGCCAGTTACCCTGGGCCACACATTCCACCGGCGGCCACACCCAGTCCCCATTTCCCACACGTGACAGCCAAGGCGGTGAGAAGGAAGGGGGGGCGGGGAGCAGGACTACCCTGTAGCCCACCTCGCTCTCCAGTGCTCCGCGCCGCCCACCTCCCTTCTGCATCCACTTTGCAGAGACCCTGGGAACCCAAGGCACCCCTGGCCCGGGACGCTGAAATCAACCTCTCCACCCGCACTCACCTGAGGCTGGGGACACGCGTCGTTCAGAAAGTGCGTCACCCCTCGCTTGGCTGGCGGGCCCTTGCTTCTGCTCTTCCAGGACGCTGGTGCTTGTCGGGCTTTCCCTTCCCTCCCAGCCGCCCCTCCGAGGAGGAGGCTGCAATCTATCCAAGGCGCCTACAGTGGCACCGCGTCTCAATCTTGGTCTCAATCTTCGCATGAGGTGGAGGAAGCCAGAGGCCAGCCTTGAAGAGCACTGGTATTTAGGGATTTCATCACGGCTGCACTTGGCCAGCTCTGCTCGCTGGACTGCGCCAACTGAAACACTACAAACCTACGAGTCCATTATTAAGACAATAACTAAGTCAGCTGAGGTATACCCCACACAATGATATACTCTCCTAAATATCACTGAAAATGAATCAACTCGACCTATGTGGTTAAATCTCACTTCCACAATGTCAAATTTTTAAAGTAAGATGCAGAAGGATAGATACCTCGAGTATTTCATTTATACAAATTCAAAACATGCAAAAATAATGTTTTGATGTTTATGGAAATAACCATATATCACAAGTTTTAAAGCATCTATGGGTATAATTAACACCACATTCAGGTGGTAAGTGCTTCTGGAGCCACAGGGAGAGAAACGTGATTCAGTACAAGGGACTTCAGTTCCATCTGTAATGTTTTAGTCCTGGAAAACATAAAACCACCATGGCAAAATGTTCGGATATGAAGCTGAAGGGAAGTACATAGGTGTTTATTATGCTCTATATTTTTCCACACCTGAAATATATCTTAAATTTTTTAAAAATTTCAACAGTACCACTAGTAAGTAAAAACAGAAGTATCTTCAAAAATAGCAAAGGATGGCCCTGGCTGGCGTAGCTTAATGGATTGAGTGGGGGCTGTGACCCAAGTTCGATTCCCAGTCAGGGCACATGCCTGGTTGCGGGCCAGGTCCCCAGTGCGGGCCACGTGAGAGACAACCACACATTGATGTTTCTCTCTCTCTTTCTCCCCCGCTTCCCCTCTCTAAAAATAAATAAAATCTTTTTAAAAAATAATAAAGGATGATAAAAGCAAAAGCAGAGTCTATATAGCAAAAGTAGGACACAAGTAATTGTTAAAAACCATTGAAGATGGGACATATCAGACTAAAATGTGTCACAATAAATGTAAATAGGTTAAAATATTCTCAAAAGCATCGGTGCAGAAAATGGATGAGACACACCCTGCCCAGGCGATTGGGTTATTTTCTGTAAGTCTAAGGGTAAATCAGCCTGTGAACAGGGCGACTGCCTTTACCTCGATGGCGCTCCCAACCGAGGGAGCTTCCGTTTCTAATACTTGGAGGGGGCTTGCTCTTTCACTGTGGACAAAAGCCTCATGTACCTGTGAACTACACTATCCTGAACAGAAATTCCTACATTACTAATGCAACAAATTAAATATGGGAGGTCTCTTCTCACCAATCCTCCTCTTATAGTTTGGATTCAATACGTGCTTCCCCCACAGTTTCTGGCCAATGTATAGGAATCATTAAAGACTTTGGGGACATGAACTGCTGTGTTATATAGGTGTTCGTGTACCAAACTGGTAGATTTGGACACTCCAAAACAACTGGACACTACAACAGCCTTGGCTAAAGCCCCAGCTTTCGGTGAAGGGACCCAGGAGGCTTCCCGCTCTAAAAGTGCAGACAGCTCCTTTGGAGGTGGGCATTGGCTGGACCCCTCGCCTCTCCTCCTCCCGTGCCTGGCAGCACCATCTACAGACACTTCCTTGGTGCTCCCCATCCCTGGGCTGCTCTCCTTCCAGCTCAGGTTTGCATAACAGAGCTTGCAGCCGTGAGGCCTCCAGGGAGAAGCAAGCACAGGGCCCAGGGAAAGACCTAGACAGAGAAACAACCGCACAGGAATGCTCTTCACCGGGGCACTGCGTCTAGTGCCCTCTTCTTCTAGCTTGGCCCCAAGCAGTTCTAGGCCCAAGGGATGTAGAATGAATCATAAACAAGAAAAAAATCAAGGTTCAGGGAGATTTAATGAGGCCACAGCAATCATACTCTTGCATGGAGTGATGAACCCTCGTCTTCAAACATTTAAACAGCCCGAACCTGTCTTGAATATGAAATAGCACTCCAGTGGGTCAGCTACTTTGCACAGCACAAGCCCGACATCTAGCGTTAGCAGGATAAATCTCAGGTGGCTCTGCAATTTACCTGAACTTGAGAGAAACCGCGTCTTGGTGTCTCCCTTCTCACGAGTCTCACCTCAGCTTCTGGAAGGCTAAAAAATATTTTGTTTTTTTTAATATGTAGTTTGTCTTTTAATCTTCTCAACAATTTGCTCTCTTATTTTTCACATTAATGAAATAAAATTGAGGCAAACTGAACACTTTTTATTAAAATATAATCGACATATAACACTAAATTTAAGACATACATGTTAATTTAATACATTTACATTTATATTTTGTAATATGATTGTCATTGTGACAGTAACTAGCACCTTTATCATGTTACATAATTATCATTTATTTTTAGTTTTGAAATAGTTAAGTTCTAGTCTCTTGGCAAGTTTGATGATTATAATATAATATTGTTGTCTACAGTCCCTATACTATGCATTAGATCTCTAGGTTTATTTACTATTGGTTGCAAGTTTGTACCTTTAAACAACATCTGTCCTATCCCCCCTTCACCTAAACTGGACATGTTTAGAGTGTAAAATTTGGTGAGTTATAACCAGCAGAGAACAAAATAAACAAAAATCTCTGTCCTCACAGAGCCTGCATTCCAGTGGACAAAATTACGTCACGTGGCTATTCCAATAGCAGAGGAACCTGGAAGGCAAGTATTTAGTTTTTGAGTTTCCACAGTAGAAAGAGGATGGAAAGGGTGTGGTGGGAGCCAAACTACAGTTCCTGCCGCAATGGGACTGGGGAACGTACTCAAAATGTATACATGCTTATGTAGACCAATTAGGTTCAAAACACGTTTCAGAAGTATGGACATGTCTATTCCTTAAACCAGACCTATTTATTATTATAACTATTACATTATTAACATGTTCTTAATCATTTAGATGCCTTCTTATTTAATGACATGTAAATAGATCCCGCAGCACAAGACCCTGGCCCACAAGTTACCTCCAGTCAACAGTAGACGTTATCCTGGCACCAATAAGGTACACCCTGTGGGTCACGGAGTATTGCTAGGCCTTTCTTTAGCTTGGGCCTTTCTTTACCTTTCACTACTTTCTGCAAGGCTTCTCTGTAAGTTACAGGCTCATTTGGCTTTACTAGCTTCTCAAAAGGTTCACATCCTCCTTGTTCTCCAAAGTCCCCTTCATAGAAAGAAATATTCTTACTAGATAGGATGAGTGGAACTGTTCATCTAGCTCAGAATAGGTCCATTCTTACTGAATCAACAGTCAACCACAGTTTACAAAACCCCGCACTAAAATTCCCGGGACTTTCCATCAGGATACACTTCCCGAAGGAAACTCCATCAGAGCGCTGATTCTCAAACTTGGCTGCACACTGGAATTACCTAGGAAGATTTCTAAAATATGATGCCTGGGTCCCAGCCCCTACAACAGTGATTCTCAATTGGGTGAATTGCTCCCCGTACCAGGAAACACTGGGCAATGTCTTTCGGTTATTACAGCTTGGAGAGGGTTGGACTGGCATCTAGTAGGTGGAGACAGGGATGGTGCTAAACAATGTGCATTGTACAGGAAAGTCCCCGCTCCCCATAGCAAAGAATTATCTAGTCCTAAAGGTCAGGAGGGCCATGGTTGAGAAATCCCGTTAAAAGTTTGTGTTGCTGCCCTTCAAGGCCAGGCAGGTTCACGGTATTCGTGCAGACAGAAAAACATTCACAGAGCTGTTGGGGTGTCTGGCATGCCTTTATTAATGGGTGGGTCAGCCATGCACGCTACAAGCTGCATGTCCGTCTGCATGTCTCATGTCATGGCCCCTGCTCCCCAGCATGGCACCCATCACGGTACCTGTCCCCTTGCGTGTCTCTCATCATCATTGCCCCCAGCAGGGAGTCCCTACCTGGTAAAGTACTACAGAGGAACAAAGCTGGAAAACTGCCAGAACATTATGTAACATAACATAATTCTGCGCATGCAAGCTCACTTCATGTTATGTAAACAGTTTATCTTATCAGGCCCCTCCAAGGTTATGGGAACACTGCTTCCCTTAGCTACCCAGATACCTGGGTGAGGAAGCCAGACTGCCTCCACTTACCCTACAAAGTCCAACTCTCTAGGTATAGGTTCAGCCTTGGCATGGGAGTTTTAAAACCTTGCCAGATGATTCTAATATGCAACAAAGTTTGAAGAGGGTATAAAAGCTAGAGACCTGTTGCTACAGAATACTTGAATATGTAAGTAAATTCCTTTCAACTCTGTACCATTGAGTTTGAACTGGAAAATTTCCATATCTTCTCATTTGATTGTGAATTGGCTTGGATGCAGAAGGTGGCTGAAAGGAGGAAGAGTTAGCTGCTTTTGTGGGGAACCCTAGGTTTTCTACAACATGCTGGAATGGACATCTCCACAAATATGTTTTGCTGCTTATTATTCATCCTAATCATGAATTGATCTCCCTGGTGTGGCTCAGGAGAATCATTAACTACAGTCAAATACTGTAATTACATTCCAGAGAACAGGCTGCCAGAAGTTTCAGGTGGGAGAAACAGCTCCTTTGCAAGAGGTACAGGGGCTGGGGCTCACTGAGGCTGGCTGTTGCTTGTTTGAGAGGATTTAGGAACCTGTGAAGCATGAGTCAAAACCAGCCATTCATACAGAAAAGTCACAGTTAACAGTTTGGGTGTACCTGTAAGTTGGGTGGGAAAGAGTCTCAGGGAATCTCCAGAGCAGGGCAAACAGTGTTAGGCAGATTGGTGGAGTCTCAGATATGGCGCTGGCCTGCAGGCTCTGTAGAGGGAGGGCTCAGAAAGGGACAATGAACTCTGCCTGTCTTTCTATCTGGGGGAAAACTGTCCTCCAGCTCCAACCTTGATGCCAAACACCTCAGTTCCTCCCTGTGTGCCACCTGTGCCTTTCAAGCTGCTACCCAGTGCTGGAGTGCAAAGGGAGTAAATCTGAGTAAGTCCATGTGTGGTTCTTTAAGTGGAACTGCTTGGGACTCTAGAAGTTTCTTATACTGACTCAATCCCTACTGGTTTTTGCAGCCAGAAGGTATGGGGACTTATCTTGCTGGCACTGGAACTCTGAGCTAGGGAGCCTGGTATGGGGCTGAGACTCCTCACTTCCAAGATAGCCCTCCTGAATTTTTACCCACCACACAAGGATGTGGAACCAGCCTGTTCCATGTTTCCACCCCTCTACCAGTCTGGATGGATGTGGTTTCTTTAATTCTGTAGTTGTCAGATTTCCATTCAACTTGATTTCTGATAGTTCTGAGTGATGGCTGTTCTACATTTTATTTGTCATTTGATGTGGCCGTGCAAGGAGAGCTGTGTTTACCATGCCGCCATCTTGACCAGAAGTCTGTGTCTACATATACAAATTTTTAGTGAAAACAGTATCATACAAACCAACTGCAACTTTCTTTTTTCATTTAACTTTCAATACTGACCACTTCACAGGTCTAGACATGTAGATATGTTAATCCATTAACAGATGCAGAGTATTATAGTGCATGAAACTGATGGGCTTAAAGAACAGCTGCTCATTAAGTGCAGGCGAATTGAACACAGGCATTTCTGGAACCCTGTAACATGACACTAGAAGTACAAAAAGGATGAAAGACTACAAGGATACGAGAATAAGGAAGATGAAAACATATGAGAGATGTCAACAGTTTGGGAAGACAGAAAGGAAGGGAGACGTGGTAACCAGGGGAAACTGGAAGCTTTGCATGGGCATGGAATGGAGAGGAGGGTGGTTAGGATACATGTATAATACCACGAAGTAAGCTGGCTCACTCAGTGGAAAGGCTCAGGAATATGTGTCAGATACAGTACTTTGCAAGGCAGAGACAGCCAAAGGGAAGAGGTAGAAGGAGCAATTGGACCTGCAGATGCCATTCCCATATGCATAGCCCAGAGATTTCTCCCAAGCCCCACACCACAGGAGGTTTATTTTCTGGGAAAAAATAGCAAAGGGCCAGATTAAAGCAGTGGATTTAAAACCAGGTGATGGATGAAAGTTTGCATACTGAAGAGAGAAGCAATACAATGCCTCACCACAGCCCCAGCCCTATTCTTTCACCTGGCTCTCAAACACTATCAACCAGGTTTTGTGCCCTCTGCGTGGAAGCCTGGAAGAACCTTCCTGAGAGGCAACAAATAACCACAGATAAACCTACAGACATCTGGGGTAGAGGCCTATCGACAAAAATTCGACAATCCTCTTTACTACAGAGGATTGGATATGAATCTTCTAAGGACCCATGCATGACCATTCCTATGGGTAGTTTGATTGTAATAGAAATAAAAAGAAGTAGAGGGAATACTCTAGAAATAACAATCAAGGATACAGGGGATATTTCATGTTAAAACTGGGAATCCTAGGAACACAGTGGTGGGGTAACAGCTGTTGAAGCATGTCAAACTGAGAGGTAGAGAAACGACTGAGAATTAGGCAAGCATAGCAACCAGGTATCTACCTCCCAATTCCCATGAATGACACAAGGAGACTCGACAGTCATCATGGGGCAGAATGTCACCAGTGCACATTCTACTTCAGCAATTACCCATGTGTACCTACTATGTGCCAGGTTCTGGGTAAGGGATAGAGGACTAAGGCACTGTTCTTGCCCTCAGTGAACTAGCAATCTACCCAGGGCAGAGTGATAATCGGAAAGCTCCCTGCTGTCCTAGGGCAGACAGACACACAGGTCCTGAGACTGTGTCTTTTCACTTCCCAGGTCCCTGACTAGCCCAGCTTCTTCACCTGCGCAGACCCCACCTCATTTTCTCACTTTCTTCCAGTGGGACACAGAACTGTCTTCCCCAGAGCACTCCCACTCAGTCTGGGAATCATGGCTCAGCACAGCTGAAGGCCCCTTCCGGCCGCCATGTCAAACCAACAAATAAGCCTGGAAAAAGCTCACTAAGTACAAGGGGCTGGCTAACTTTGACATTAAAATTTCATCATAGAAACTTGAAAGCTTAGCATTTACAATGTCTTCAAAAATAGGAGAGCTAATTTAGCAGGTAGCAGAGAAAGATTTTGTTGGATAAGTTGTAGTTTCAGTTTGCACAGACTCTCAAGCCACCCACTCAGAGGGGAGTTTTTTATAGTTTTGCACTTCCAGAAGGGAGATAAATTCTCCTGAAGAGATGCTGCTGGGGAACAGTGGGGCAGTTTGGATAACTTCAGAAACACAGTGGCTTAAATCTAGAGCCATGTACTACCTACACATTTTTGGTTGCACACCCACTAAAATAACTTTTTAAAAACTAGACAGTTGAGACCAACAAGCATATGCAAAGATGCTCAACATCGCTCATTATTATGGAAGTACAAATCAAAACTTCTAGGTTAGCTGCTATTTTTAAACAATGGAAAAAAACAGTAGTATCGAGGATGTATAGAAATTAAAACCCTTGCATTTTGCTCGTAGAGTAAAATGGTGCAGTGGCTGTGAAAAAGTTTGACAGTTCCTCAAAAAGTTAAGCAGAATTATCAGCAATTTTGGTCCTGGGTATTGACCTAAAAGAATTAAAAACAGGTATTCAGTCAAATACTTGTACATCCATGTTCATTCACAGTAGTGTTATTCTAACAGAACACAGAAGCAGCTCAAGTATCCATCAGCTGATGAATGAATAAACACATTGTGGTACAGTCACACACCACATAACAAAGTTCTGGTTAGTAATGGACCACACATATTTTATGGTCCCATAAAATTATAATAGAGCTGAATTTCCTGTAAGAAGCAGAAGGCTGTGTGGTTCAGGGGGGATTGGTTTTTCTCTGACAGGAGCATTCCCTGTCGGTCTTGACAGCAGATTCCCTCTCACTCACTCACTGCACCTCAGTTCTGAGTGCGCTGACCGCATCCCAACCTGTCAGCCTCCGCCCTGTCCCAGCACCACGGAGCCTGTCCCCCAGCGCTGCCTATTCACAGGGCAACACAGCCCTCCCAGGTCTAGCCTGACGGTTCTCAGAGTGCCTGGCTGCACAGGGTCTTGGGTCCTGTACATTCTTTGTTGAGGACCACAGGAGCTGCCTTAATGAATGTTAAGTGCCACTGCCACCCGAGGGAGAGCTTTCTGTGGTGGCATGGAGCCTGCCTGTCCCTGCACTCTGGAAATGTTTTCAGGTTGTAAGGGTATAAGCATAGCCAAGTTTTATTTCTTCCATCAGCTCAATGCCAGAGAGAGCTCTCTGTGCCAGACAGGGTCAATGGAACCCAAACAAATTTCCAACATCAGAATATTGAGTCCTCTGTTCTATGCACTCTCCTTGTTAGATGACCCTTTTTCTCAATGAATATCACCAAGTTCCTTAATCTGACCACTGTTCCTATACACAATAGCCAGCACCACATCGCCATGACAATCCCCATGGTCCTTTACTTTTCCATCTTGATTTCTCAGGCCACCTCCCCTCCCCCCCCCAGACTGTGTCATGGTGATCTACACTGGACCCAGCCAGCTTCGTCAGCCCAGCCCACGGCCCTGTTCGTGGGGCAGCACTGGCAGCTTCCATGTTCTGACTCGGTCCAGTGGAAGCAGGGGGAGGGCTTGTGGGACGGCGCCTGTAAAGTCTGCATGGTGTGCGGCAGTGTGCTCGGCCTTCACGTCCACTCACCCCTCCCTCGCTGACTCACCCAGAGCAACTTCCAGTCCTGCAAGTTCCATTTCTGTAAGTGCCCTACGCAGGGCGCTTTTATCTTTTATGCTGATTTTTATTGTACATTTTCTATGTTTACATATGTTTGGATGCACAAATACTTTATGTCACAATTGTGGTAGGCACATTATGTTTCAATTGCCTACAGTATTCAATACACTAACATTCTGTACTGGTTTGTAGCCCAGGAGCAATGGCTATACCATACAGCCTAGATGTGTAGTAGGCTACACCATCTAGATTTGTGCATATATCAATATCAAGTGTTTGGCTTTTGGAAATAATTAAATAGAGCCCTGGTCGGTGTAGCTCAGTGAGTTGAACACCAGCCTGTGAACTAAAAGGTTGCTGGTTCAGTTCCCGGTCAGAACACATGCCTGGCTTATGGGCCAGGTCTCCAGTTAGAGGATTGTAAGGCTGCCCCCAATGTTTCCCTCCCTTTCTTTCTCCCTCTCAAATATAATAAAGAAAATCTTTAAAAAATAAAGTAAAAAAGGAAAAACATTTTTTAAATAATTAAATAGAATGATGAATAAACATCAGAATTTACTAACTTTGCTTGGCATCATGACTGAATTCCTTTGAAAAAGGAAGGTACAAGGGGAGAGACCCACAAAAGCAAAATTTATTAAAAATTGTGTACTTATTCTTACATGTTTAAACTTCAGTCACCTTCAAAGTACTCTCCATTTGATGCAATACACCCATCGAGATGTTTTTTCCACTGCTCAAAACAGTTTTTGAACTTGTCAGTTTTGATGCCTTTGGGTGCTTCTGCCATTTTTTGTTTCACCTCTTCCACATTGGTAAAACATTGTGGAAGAGGTAAAACATTTCCCTTTGAGGACTTTTTTCACCAGGGAAACAAAAAAAAAGTGTCATGGGAAGAGATCAGGTGACTAGGGTGGATGGAACATGGGGGTCACTTTGGTCAAAAACTGCTGAACACTCAGTGCAGTGTGGGCAGATGTTCTTGTAAATCACCCACCATGAAATGGGCAAACAGGTTGAAAGAATCTTCAAAAAAAACTCACTGAAGCTGAACACAGCCTCTCACAACAATGCCAGCTGGCACACGGATACAGGTGGGTTCCTAGAACACTTATGTAGCGAGAGAGGCCTGTACTACATAAGGGGCCTGCCTTCTAGAAGATAATTCTGGTTTTTGGGGGGTCCCTCTCACATATACATATATTATACTAATTAGTCCAGCCCTTGCATCATTAAACATTTTGTAAGAGAAAATAATATGAAGATTTACTGCTATTAGAATATTTCATAATATATGTTTTGATAAAACTACCTTAATTAACTACCAGATTAATGCATAGAAAATCTGAAAGAAATCCCCTAAAACTTTTGTTGGCAAGTCTACTCAGTATATCTGAAGAATTTGTTAGTTCCAGAACACATACAAATTTCCTTGAAGACAATCGGCATTATTTATTAACTTGCACCCCTTTGGAAGTACTACTTTTCTTTCCACCAAAGACATGTCCTGTGATGAGTATTGATTGAATAGACTATTATGAATGGAATGGCTTACCTTTTTCTTTAAGATTTTATTTTATTTAACTTTTGAGACAGGGGAAGGGAGGGAGAAAGGGAGAGAAACATCATTGTGTGGTTGCCTCTTGAGCACCCACCACCAGGGACCCGGTCAGCAACCCAGGCTTGTACCCTAATTGGGAATCAAACCAGTGGCCCTTTGGCTCACAGGCCAGCACTCAGTCCACTAAGCCACACCAGCCAGGGCTGGTTTGCCTTAAATACAGAGGGAGAATGGCTTTAGGAGCAAAACTTTCTTCAACAATAAACTAAGAGGTGAAGACAGAAGAGGTGAAGTCATTTCTACCCCACTAACCCACACCACAGTATCTGAATTAGAATATCCCAGTGCAGACCAGTTCTCTCAAAGAACAAGAAATGGAAAACAAATGGCTTGCGAGTTAAGAGAGTGTTCTCCTTTTGCAGAGCCAGAGCAGGGCAGATTATGAGAGGGGCTTCAGGAAGGAGAGCCCGCATAAGAAAGCAGACCTGTTGTCAGACACCAAACACGAAGCCGAGAATCTGAAAATGGATTTCCTTGGGACGATCCGTGCCGCTGTTCCTCCTTGAACACCACGGACTGTTGACCTCTGGCTTCAAGCACATTTCCTTGGACTGGAAAAAGATATAGGAGCCTCGATCACTGACTTGTTTGGAATTTAGGGAACATTCTTCAGCCTTATTGTTCTAATCTGGAAAGTAGAATCTATCTAGTTTCCTATCCCCTTCCCATGGTATTTTTAGAATTAAACACAAGGAATAGTTAATAACACTATTTAGGTTTTAAATAGGACTTTTAACTTTTCTTTTTTAAAAATAAAATGTTTACAAGGATACAACAGTACACTAATAAATGAAGGCTTCCTCCCCTTTGAGTTGTATCTGATTTACTCATTTTATTTTATTACTTATTTATTTTTAAATTAAATTTATTGGGTGGCATTGTTTAATTAAATTATGGAGGTTTCAGGTGTACGATTCTACGACACATCATCTGTATATTGTATTGTGTTCACCACCTCAAGTTAGACTTTTAACTTAACAAAAGACTTTGTTATCTGGGTCCTGTGTTCCTCTCCTAACTATCCCACAAAAGCAAGGCTTACCTATCTTTTTTTTTAAATATTTTATTTGTTTATTTTTAGAGGGAGGGGAAGGGAAGGAAAAAGAGTGGGAGAGAAACATCAATGTGTGGTTGCCTCTCATTTGCCCCCTACTGGGGTCCTGGCCTGCAACCCAGGCATGTGCCCTGACTGGGAATCGAACCCGCGACCCTTTGCTTCACAGGCCCGTGCTCAATGCACTGAGCTACACCAACCAGGGCAGGCTTACCTTACTGTGACAGCTGTGGGTTGTGGAGACCAAGGGCGAGACTTGCGCAAGATCTCACAGCAAATAAGTGACCTGGCCGGGAATAGCACCTACACTGACCCCCTTTCTCCATATGTACCAGCGTGGGAAAATATCACAAAAACAATGAAAGTGAAGCACAGAGAAATCACCAATACAATACCAGCAAATAATCAGAAAGTATAAAGTTTATCTAGTATGTATAATATATACAGTATCTAGTATATCTACGTTCATAGTTTATCCAGGTTTATTTTAAAAATCATTTTCTTAAAATAAGAGAGGCCAATTAATATTCTTAGCCTATTCCACCAAACTATGACTCAGTTAACTGGAGGGGAAGAAATAAAAACCTGAAGTTCCCAAAGGCACTTTCATTTTAAAATACACGCTCATTTTTCACTGTCCTGTTACCCATGGCAGACTTCCTACTTTCTGTAACCAGCCGGCAAGGTGATCCCCTGAGACACAGTGCTGCCAGGCAGACAGGGGAGTTCTCAGAAATAATTACACCTCAGTAGACTTTTTTTTTTGCTTTATTTGAAACAAAGTTTTAGTTCATTTTTTGACTAGTAATACAAAAGGTATTACAAAAGAGTAAGTTTCCCTCCCAACCCTTTTCTCCTGCCACTCTGTTCCTTTCCCAAATGGACAATCAATGAGGAAGAATTTAAAATGGGAAATCTGTTGTAATCCTGTACATGTCGAAGACGACACAAAACAAACAACTTGGGGCTAATGTGTAGTATAGGAAGTGTTTGGGTATTCTCGCATAACCTTTGTTACAAAGACTGAGTACAGAAAGTGGGAAGCAGGATGTACTCGAGGTAAAAGTGGAAACGTCATGGAAGCATAAAAGAGGCTGAAGGACAAAGGGATGAAACAGGGAGTCTGGGAGCAGTGAACCAGGACTGGGAGTTCTGCTTGCACCCAAGACAGCACCGGGGGTTTCCCACAGTCCATGTGGAGCAGCTAGATCAGAGTAAATGCAGGTAACCAAGCCAGTCAAACAATGTAGAATGAAAAAGTTCTACACTGGAGTCAGGCCCAAGACCACCTCTTTTCTGAGCTGACCCCAGAGACTCATTATTTGGTGACCCAGATTATTTACAGACCCCAATTTTTTTATCTTGAATGCCTGCCCCTGACCTCCAAAAGTCACATATGACCTAAACTGTTTTATGAGCAGAGAACTCTTATACTGTAGAGCTGAAGAAGCTTAAATATTATCTAATACATCTATTTCCAAGCAATTTGGCTGCAGGGTCCTGTAATATTCTTAAAGAAATTAAGACACCCAAAAAATGTTTATGTGAGCTTTATCTATCGATATTTACCATGTTATAAATTAACAGGACTTCCGGCCAAGATGGAGGTGTAGGTGGAAACATAGTGCCTCCTCGCACAACCAAGTTTAAAGACAACAAAGTTTTAGTAACAAAAACGCAGCCAAGACTTCTGCCAAGATGGAGGCATAGGTGGAGACGCCTTGCTTTCTTACACAACCAAGTTTAGAGACAACAAAATATTAGCAACAGAAAACACAGCCAGAGCACAGAAAATTGAACTTTTCGGAAGTCTGTTAACAAATTCTTCAGCCTGACCGGTAAGAGGGGCGAAACCAGCAGCTGGCAGAGTGGGGTTGCACAGGAAAACTTGGTCAGACGGACTCAGGCACACGGAATCCAGGCGCAGGGTTGGACCTAGTGAGAGACCCAGTGAGCGACCTCGGGGAAACAGCGAGGGAGCAGGGCTGCAGGTTGACTGTGGTCGCGCATTCGTGTGCGGATAGACAAGCAAGGGAGTGGGCAATTGGTCAGGACCCAGCAGGTGCCCGGGGCGAGAGAGTGGCAGTGGAGGGGACAACCATTTCCTGCTCTGACCCCGCCTCCACATGCAGCGTCATAACCCAGCGACTCTAAGTGGCCCGGCCCTGGTGAACCACCTAAGCCTCTGCTCCTCACCCAGCTGTGAGAAACAGCAGAGGGTGCCGCCATTTCCCCGCTCTGACCACGCCCCCACATATAGTGTCACAACCCAGCAACCTGGGAGTCCAAGGCTCCCCTCCTCATACTTAACGAGCTCGAACAGACCAAAAATGGCTCAAGAAGATCTCAAAGCCCCAGAGCCCATAACTCTAAGTGATGAAAAAATAGCAAAACTTTCAGATGCACAGTTCAAAACACTGGTGATCAGAATCCTCACAGAACTGGTTGATTTTAGTCACAAATTAGACGAACATATGAAGGCTAAACTAATTGAAATAAATGGTAATTGCACAGGACACCAATAGCGATGAAAAGGAAACTGGGACTCAAATCAATGGAGTGGACCAGAAGAAAGCAAATAATGGCCAAACAGAAAAGAGTCAAGAAGCAAGAATTCAAAGAAATGAGGAGAGACTTAGGAACCTCCAGGACATCTTTAAACGCTCCAACATCCAAATTATAGGGGTATCAGAAGGGGGGAAAGGAACAGCCACCAGTGGAAAACTTATTTGAACAAATAATAAAGGAGAATTTCCCCAATCTGGCAAAGGAAATAGACTTCCAGGAAATCCAGGAAGCTCAGAGAGTCCCAAACAAGTTGGACCCAAGAAGGAACACACCAAGGCACATCATAACTATATTAGCCAAGATTAAAATGAAGGAGAGAATCCTAGAAGCAGCAAGAGATAAGGGGACAGTCACCTACAAAGGAGTCCCCATCAGACTGTCAGCAGATTTCTCAAAAGAGACCTTACAGGCAAGAAGGGGCTGGAAAGAAGTATTCCAAGTCATGAAATCCAAAGACCTACAACCAAGATTGCTCTATCCAGCAAAGCTTTCATTTAGAATGGAAGGGCAGATAAAGTGCTTCTCAGATAAGATCAAATTCAAAGAGTTCATCATCACCAAGCCCTTATTATATGAAATGTTAAAGGGACTTACCTAAGAAAAAGAAGTTAAAAAAAAACATGAACAGTGAAAGGACAGCAAACTCACAGTTATTAACAACCACACCTAAAACAAAAGCAAACTAAAAGGACAGCTAGATCAGGAGTGGAAACATAGAAATGAAGATCACATGGAGGGTTAGCAACAGGGGAGTGGGAGGAGGAGAAGGGGGGAGGAGGTACAGAAAATAAGTAGCATAGACAGTAGGTAGAAAATAAATATATGGCGGGGGCAAGAATAGTATGGGAAATATAGAATCTAAAGAACTTGAGACACATGGACATAAACTAAAGGGAGGGACGGTGGGGGAGGAGGTGTGCAGGGAAATGAAGGGGGGTAAACAGGACAACTGTAATGGCATAATCAATAAAATATATTTTTTAAAAAATTAATGATAATTTTTAAATAAATTAACTTATTTTTAAATAACAAAACAAAGACATTACATGTTAAAATGTTTTTATGAAAAATAACTGTTTTCCAAAACAGAAAAAAAATTGAGAGAGAAGACTGGCATTATTGTACATTTTTAAAAGTCTCTTTCATGCCTGGCTTAATAGGAAATAGCTGAATTCTCACCTCTGCCTCTGCATTCAGAGTGCCTGACATAGCATAGCAGGTAGCCTCAAGAAAACCACTGTGAATACACACACACACACACACACACACCAGTGGTTTTGAGTATAGAGAGCACCTGAAGGGTCTTGGGGACCCCAGTGGTTCCTGGGCCACAGTTTGAAAACTACCAATCTAATGCAATTTAGAGTTGCACTTTCCTGTAATGCCATTTCTTAGCAACGTGAACTTCAACAACTTATTTAACCTCTCTAGGCCTTGGCTTCCTTAGCTGTAAAGTGGAACTAATAATATAAGGTTCTTTTTATGACCAGGTGTATTCTCACAAATGCTGTGTCCTCCCATTTAAGTATATAGTGAGGTAATAGCTATAAACAGCTAATACAGTGTTTGGCTCCTAGTCATCACTCAAATGATGGCTCTTCCTATTGTTGTTAATATTTGTTGTTAACTACATACCCCAAGCATTGTGCCAGGCATAGCAAAGTGAATAAGATGGCCTGAGGGTCATATCAAAATGAGTAAGGCTCAGTTCCTTAAGAGTAGGGAAGACAAGATAAATTCATACCTAAGGAACAAAACAGAGTACAGCAAGGATGATATAAAAGAGGGAAAAGTCACATTGATTCATTTCACCCACAAATATTAGTCAACTTCTCCTGTGTCCCAGGAGCAATAGCCAGGAGGGGCCGATGTGGTGGAGCCAAGTGAATGAGGGGGCGAGTGGCAGGAGTGAGGGGGTACGAAGGGATC